GTTTATGGCATTCACAGTGAATACGGGTGGTGTCTTACAATTTCAGATCAGCAGGAGGCTTAGCATCTATGCTTGGGCCTTGAACTAAGTTATTCCCCAAATGTCTTTTATTTCATTTTTAAAGATTTTTATTTACTTAGTTAGTTAATGGACAGAGAGAGAGAGAAAACACAAACAGGCAGAGAGGCCAACAGAGGGAGAGGAAGAAGCAGACTCCCCACTGAGCAGGGACACCCACCCCCCCCCCCCGCCCTGGGCTTGATCCCAAGACCCCAAGACACATGATCTGAGCCAAAGGCAGATGCTTAACGACCACCCAGCCAGGTACCCACATGAATGTCTTTTAAAAGTGACAATATAAAAAAAAAATTTAAAATCCAGAAGCTGAATATTAGTAACTATTTGTCAAACTATAGGAAACATTAGCAAAAGGAAAAAAATATATATGAGAAGAATTATGTGTGAAATTCAAATAATTGAATTTCAAGATAGCTTGTTTAATAAAATTTTAGAATAGAATAATGATGCATCTATCTATCTATCTACCTATCTATCCTGGTAGTTTTTGAAAAAACAAAAACAAAACTGCAGTGGTTTTATTTGGTGTATACTCTTACATCAAAAAATTGACCATGTAATTTTAAAATTTTAAAAGAGAATGAGCTACTTGTTCATTCTCTTTGAAAAGCATAGATCTCATATTTCTCATTTGTTGGGACTAAAATACTGATATTTTAGTGTTTTCTGAAGTAAATCTTCCAGAAGTTTGATGTTTTTTTTTTAGTTTTGAGATAATCTATGGTATTCTACTAGTTTCTATTATGTTCATATTATATGTAATATAATAAATTATATTTATATTACAATATAGATACTTATAAAGTATATAGTCTCCTCGCACTGCGCCTAGATATGAATGGAGTTAAAATCTTTTTTTTTTTAAATCTCCTTTTTTTTTAATACCTAATCTGATCTTCATGAGTCCACTCTGCTGCCTAGATAGTAATGTGTCCCTGGGCTGGGTCAGGTCACCCTTAACTTGCTTGAAAGAACAGCCTAGCCTCTTCTCTTTTAACCACTCTTTTCAAGGTAGACATGCACTCACCAGTGAAGCTGCTCTTCCTCTCTTTCCTGCCCTTATCCTAAAATCATACAGGTACATGGTGTGCTTACTACTTCTTGATGCTTGAGGAGGGCATGCAGCTCCAATGCTCTCCCTCTGTCAGTCTCTGTTTGCATGGTGTGTCTGGTTTGGCCCCTCAGTGCTGGCTTTTCTAATTCTCTCCAGTCCCCTAGTGACTCCTTTGAGTATCTGGTACATACGTTGCTGCCTAGTCCTGATGTCCACTTGATTGTCCTTTGGGTCCTTTGCTCACAGAGTGATCTCTCAGGCCCTAGAAATCCTGAGCCACACACAAAGAAACAGCTTCTCTCTTTGGCCCCTTGTCTCTGCCACTGCTGCGTATTCCCTGCCATGTCCTATTAGATGTGACTGCCGTGGAAGTTCTCTGGAGGCTTCCATGCTTCACAAGAGTCAGCCACTGTTTCACCAAAAGTTCTCTTACTTTCTTAAGACCTATCACCACTTTCCCCAAAGTGCTTCCCCAATGCTTCCTGTCTGTAGATGTGACCCAGAGTAGTAGGGGAACAGGGATGAAGAGGAAGACATTTGCATCCCATCTCCTTGTACTCTCTCTGCCTCCCCTTCTTCTCCCCATAAGCCAGAGTAGGAAGGCATTCCCCCCTTTCTGCTTTTCTGGAAGACATTTTATATTCTTTCATTCTCAGAAGGGGAATAAGCCTCCCATGCTAGCCTCCCTGGTAGTAGGAAGGGCAGCCTGTCCATGTCATCAAAGAAACTCTATGATCTGGGTCAGGCTGGCTTGGCTCTTGATGTTGTAGCCACAGGATGATTTTTAGCTATGGATAAAAATGTTTTGGATTAATATTGACCAAAAAGAAAGCAGATTACAGAGTATATGTATTTTCCTTATCCTATTGGATGGAAACAAAAATGGTCAGATCCTAAACAACACAACTTCATTGTTCCAGACTCCAAACTCTCCATTTTTATTGAAAGGAATTAAACATGCTAATAAACATTAGTTTCATACATGTTTATAGAAAATTTTTAAAGGTCTTTGAGTATATATATGTCTATGGATATATTTCCACAATGACCAAATAGAGTACATCATTCCATCCTTTGTTTCCCAATTATATAGCATATAATACACATTTTTCTATTTGCTTATGAGGAGATAGTTTCATTTAGATCTGTATCAATGGAAAGTCATCATAATTCTATCTTCAGTAACTAGATAATGAATACATTTTGAACACCCTAAATATCTTCTACTTAAACTAGGTGTTTGGTTTTTTTTAAGATTTTATTTGTTTATTTGACAGAGAGAGAGATCACAAGTAGACAGAGAGGCAGGCAGAGAGGGGGGATGCAGGCTCCCTGCTGAGCAGAGAGCCCACTGCAGGGCTCGATCCCAGGACCCTGAGATCATGAACTGAGCTGAAGGCAGAGGTTTAACTCACTGAGCCACCCAGGTGCCCTTTAAACCAGGTTTTTAATAATTTAAGAAATTAACTTGGTAGATTCAATAAAGTCCAGAATATAAAATTAAGGAAGATTATAAAATATTTTTTTTAAGTTCTCACAGATAAAAAATAAAATGGTTTGTGTAGATTATTGTACATATGCTTGTGTTTTTTTTTTTACTTTGACTTTACATCTCTCATTTTTTATACTATATCAAACCAGTGGTATCATATTAATGTCTTTATTTCAAGGCTAAAGTAACTTATGAAAATAAATGTGTATTCAAATGTTCTGCTACAACAGAAATATCTGCTTGCATTGTTGAGTATTTAATACATTTTGTGATGATTTATCCATGACTTAAAACAAAATAAAATCTATGGCATGTTATAATTAAAATAAGTAATAACCCCAAAAATGATAATTTATGGAATATAGTACTGCAAGTACTTCCAGCTCCTAGAATTGTAATTTGATACAGCATTTGAGAAAGTAGGCAATAAGACAAATTCCCTTAATGGGAAAAAGGTAACTTTGCACTAATCAGGTTTATTAGTTTGATAACTTATCTTTTTTATTTAATTGGCATCATGTAAATTGATTTGTAAAATTAATTGTGAACATTTGTTGGCTGACATACTGTTCTTTTTATCTAATTCACTTAAAATGACCTGATTTGATATCCTAAGTATTCAACATTAACCAGCTGAAAATATGTCCTTGATAAGATACATAAACATCCTATAGGGCAAAGATCCATATTGAAGTGCTGTCACCATCTTTGCAAACCTATCAAAAAAAGTTACATAATTGGGCTTTACAACTAACTAATCTGCCACTATTTCAATAGATTGAAATGAATAGAGTCAATAGGTCTAATGTATAGCCTGGGCATTTATAATGATTAGCCAAGTGATTCCGATGCAAATGGTCTTTAGATTACTTTTCAAGAAATACGTAGGCTGGAAATTATTCTGTGTGTTCTTAGTTCTTAATACTTGGGTCAAAACAGACATGGATATTTCTCATGTATATACAGTTACTAAGATGTGGAGAAATACATCTATACATGAATTTTAGCCCCCATTAGCACAAAAACGGTGGACTTGTTGTTGAACTTTTCAGATTTCTTGGTGATCCAGCTCTCTTCTGCCTTACTCAGCGAGAGTCCATAGTGTTTGACTAAAGACCAATATAGTCTGAAAACATCACACACTATAGGGTCAAGAATGGGATTTGTAAAGAATAGGATGAAAACCCATCCAGGAGATTGACAGGGAAATAAGAACAGGTGGATGGGCATAAAGAGGGTGAGACAATCTGAAGGAAGTCAACACACTCTAGTGTGGCTACTCTTAGATTTTCACCCCGGCTGTCAATTTTAATGTCTTGTTCACCCTCAGGCAAATTGAGAACTACTGGTCCTGTAAAAACATCATTTTCCTGGTTTTAACTCATACAACTTTTAGAGAAATAGCATTTGTTCAACTGTGTTTTTGTTGTTGTTATAAAAGCAATGTAGCCTTGTTGGAAAAAATGTGGAAAATATATAAAACATATAAAATATATTTTATATAAAATATATAAAAATATATTATATTTTTATAAAATATGCCCCGCACTAGCATAGAGCTGGATGTGCAACAGGTGCAGCTTCTCAGGCTTTGATTAGAAAGGGCAGTTTTCAGCTTGACTCACATCTGAAGATGTTCCTTGATTGTGCAGAAGCTTAGTAGAACTACATAATAAACTCTTGTTGCAGCAGGCCAATGGTTGACCTTTGGACCTGGTAGCACATAGGTGTACCTGCTTACCACTTCCTCAGGCTCTGTGATCACAAGATAATAACTTAACCCAGTGATATATAGAGCTCAAACTCTTGGTGTAGAGGTGAACCCAGAAAATGATGAATATAGTATTTTCTGACAACACTGTCTCACCTGAGAATACCCATTTGATGCACTGTGCTCTTTGATAAGCTTCCATTTTTATTTTTAAACAGTGTGAAATGTAAGTGCTATAAACTACAAAAATGTTACATTTCAGAGAAAAAGAGGTACATGTGTATATAAACAAAATTTTGCCACCCATAAAATGTGAACAAGATAAAGGTAAAAAATCACTTTCTCAAAGTAAGCCTCCAGGAAATACTTGTCACTTTCAAGAAGATTTTTGCCCTGTAATATCATCATTTGCTTTCTCCATCTGTTTTGTTGTGTGTGTGTGTGTGTGTGTGTGTGTGTGTGTTTGAGCTGAGTATTGCAAACTTTTTTTTTTTTCTTTTTTGGAAAGCTAAGGAGTAAGGATACCAATGAGATGCTTTGGGTTTTAGTTGGAGTGAGGCAAGGTCTCACTCTGTTTCAGATAGACAAACGCCAACATGACCGATGAGCTGACATCAACATCGAAATGACTCCTCTCACATTTAGTCCTATTTTTTTCCTTTAAGACCTCCACGGCTACCGTGAATGTGGTGGTGACAGATGTCAATGACAATGCACCCGTGTTTGATCCCTACCTGTCTAGAAATCTGTCTGTGGTGGAGGAAGAAGCCAATGCCTTTGTGGGTCAAGTACGGGTAAGTGGAATATACATGTGTCTATATATGTATGAAATGTGTTTTTTAGTTGAGTACATTTCTCACATTTTAATTTTGAAAGGAGATTCAGCAGATGCAATGTGCAGTGGGTCATCAGAATTGTTGAAGGGAATCAGTGAGTGAGATCACTTGGGTATAAGGCAAAACAGCAGTAAAGTGCATTCATTCTCAGTCACAGTGCTGGATGCTCTTCAAGGTTGTTTTCTTGTTTTTCATAAATCTCCTCATGTCCATTTGACTTCACTTATTAAGCTTGTTGATTTACATTTTGTGACCCTTGGGTGATTTAAATACTGATTCATTGGAGAGTATTCTTTTCTTATTTAGGATAAATTTTTATTTTCTGGAGTTATAATAAGGTATCTATAGAGAAATATGTAATTAGCTATACTATTTAGTGAGAATTCATAAGTGCATACCTCAGAATACGGATGTTTTAGAGGCAAATTTATCTGGTTGGATAAACATCCATTTAACATTGCTTTGCACCCACATTTCACACACACACACACACACACACACACACACACACACACACCTCTTGTCTAACACTGATTCTAACACTGGATCTATCAGCACCTCTTGTGTTTGTGCACCTCTTGCTCTAACACCTCTTGTCTAACCTGATTCTAACACTGGATATATCAGCTGGTTTCTGTACTTCCTTTGAAGAATAATCCCATTTTTCTTCTAGAAGCAGTATATCCTCAGTTGGGCCATACTTGGTCTTGAACATGGTTGATGGTTTAGAAGCCATAAGCTGAGAGCAAATTTTGAGGAAGGCACACATATTTCACAGTATCTACCTGAGAGGAGGCATCTGTGTGAGCCACAGGCAAAGAAAGAACCATTGTCTCACAAGGAGTGGGTTACCCAGGTGTGAGTTCAGACTTCAGGATCCCACCTCTTCCCTGTTAAAGCCTTGAGTCTTTTTTTTTTTAGGATTTTTTCATTTATTTATTTGACAGATCACAAGTAGGTAGAGAGTCAGGCAGAGAGAGGAGGAAGCAGGCTTCCTGCTGAGCAGAGAGCCCAATGCAGGGCTCGATCCCAGGACCCTGGGATCATGACCTGAGCCGAAGGCAGAGGCTTTAACCCACCAAGCACCCAGGTGCCCCTATAGCCTTGAGTCTTGAATAGGAATTTTGCTGGTGCCTTGAAGCAAGCCTTCTCTACAAGCCAACTGCTCTTCCAGTCAGACAAAGATCTGGTGTTCAGTCCAGTTTCCTCTGTGACTGCAGAAGAAAAGAGCTTCTCTAAATGTTGTTAAAGGCAGAGACCTTCTGCCTTTCATACCATGCCCTGAGATTTTGACTGGGCAGCATGAGCTCATCAGTTTTTTCCCTCAGCTCTAACTATACTTGACAACTCCATAGCCATACTCATCATCACTGTCACTCTGCCTCTCAAATCCTGGAGAGATTGCATAAGGCGTACATTCCCTCATGCCTTGATGCAGCCCCAGCTCACCACAGGGGAGAGGACTAGTCCTTGTGCTACTGTGACAAACCACAGGGTCTTGATGCCATATAGCCAGCAAGCCATCCAGCTCCAGAAGCCTGTGTACTAGTACTTCCAGTGTCATAGCTTTTACTGTGGACTCTACAAGAAAAGACCTGTGGACAAAAGATTGAGGTAGAAATCATTTTTGAGAAGTTCAAGTGATACTCACAGGCAAGTAGGAAGCAATGCAGGGAAAAGATAGCTGCTAATAAAGGGGCAACTACTAAACCAGTTATTAGGAAGACTGGAGCTCAATTTGAAGGGCAAATGTAGGAAATTCTCCAAACATATGTCCCAGAATTATTGATCCTGAGATGTGATGGGACTGGCAAATTCATGCATGAAATCCTGAGAGTTCTTGGTCACCAATGCTGTGGAGGAGGGCATTGTTGGTACTTCCTGCCTCCAGGGCAAGCAAGCAGCCAGCTCTCTGCCATTTGGATACAAGGGCATTGGGTCAGACTGTAGACACCAGCAGACAGAAGTCAGCCAGGAAGTATTCATGCTCCAAGGGCCACACATGGGGCACTGACAATCTATTACACCAGGCAAACAAGGTGGTAAAATGATTGGCATGTGCAGAAAACACAGAAAAAGGGGGTGGTGATGAATTTGGCTCATGAAGGATGAGCATTGATGAGAAGAAAATTGGGAGGAGTTGGAAATGGTCTAACGTGATTGCATGAATAAAAACACAGACACAGAGCATAGGACATGCCATATTACATGTGCCAAGTTGTGAACATTTCTCTGTGCATATTGGCAAAAATGCTGGCAGGGGGGCCCCTGGAGGGTTTGAGGTATAGCATCACTAGATTTTTGTTATAAAGATTAGTCCTGAGTAGACTGTAATGGGAGATTCTACATCCAGAAAGCTGGGTCAGAAGGTAATTATAAGAGCCCAGACATAGAGACATGAGCTATTACAATCGTCTAATCATAATGATGTTAAATATCGGGGTGCCTGGGTGTCTCAGTTGATTAAGCATCTGCCTTTGGCTCAGGTCATGGTCTCAGGGTCTTGGGGTTGAGCCCTGTGTTGGGTTCCCTGCTCAATGGGAAGCCTGCTTCTCCCTCTGCCTCTGCCCTTCCCCACATTTGTGCTCTCTCTCAAGTAAATAAAAAACCTTAAAAAATACCATTTTGCCATTCTAGTTGCCACATTGATGAAAACTGAAAAATATATTTAGTCAGAACTACCAACTATTCAGATAAAATAAACAGGTATTGAAATCATTTAGGAAAATTATCTTTTCCATTTCTCTTCATTTACTTAGCATTGGAGAGATAAAACCCATATGGAATATGTAATTAATAATATGTAAGTAGACATTAACATAATGATAATTATTGGTAATTTTTATTTTTCCTTTCTCATTATGGTTACTTTTCCTAGTGGTTCTTTGTCTTTGAAGGACTTACAGCGTTAAGTTGGTTTCTCGTCTCCTAATTCTTAAATTAGATGAGAAATGGCCTCTGTAGTTTATTTCAGCATTAAAAATTGAGATATAAACTTTAGCATTCATAATTTGACAAAGCAGTAATTGTCCTGGTCTTTAGGCACTAACATGCTTTCACACAAAACTGAAATGAGTTTGAAAGTACAAAGGAGCACAGAAACGTACCAAGCAGGTGCAGCCTACTGATTCTGCTCAGTTCCAGGGAAGTTCTAATGTTCTGAGAATAGAATTTTGATGCATCATAATGGTCTCCTGTTGCTACCTAATGATAATTATATAATACATTAATTTCACAAAGTGACTCATGCTCTGCTTATAGAATTTATTTTTAATTGTCACCAAAAAACTATTAAGACACATTTAAAACCAAGATACATATGGTTAGTTATTGCACTGAATTTGAGCTACCAACTGAAGGGGGTTTTGTTCTAATGATGTTTTAGCATGCATAATCCAATATTTGCATGCAAAAGCTGAAAGAAAATTTATTTACTTTTTATGTGTTAAGGTAGTGCTGTGGTATCAAACTTTATTAAATAGGGAATACTTCCAAAGCAGTATTTATGGATTATGCAGAGCAAAGAATTTTATCAGCATATTAAAAAATAAACTACCAGCCAGTAATTTCTGAACATAGAACTCACAACACACAGGTATGATATACCACACTTAGCTTTGGAAAGCATTTGCATAATTCTCAGAGCATTTGCAGCAGCAGTATTGCTGGGGAGAGAAGAAAGTATGCAGATTGAAACCTAGCACACATAGAACAGACTCCCTCTCTACATCTGGTGTCCAATGTGTCATCCTTATGATTTCCTAAAGGATGAGGAATGCCTCAGAGGACTAAGACAGCTGTGTCAAGGTTCATGGGAAAATGTATTCATCTGCAGTCTCTTGACAAATTAGTGAGATTCTAGGTTGGAAAAAAAAAAAAAAGAAAGAAAGAAAGAAAGAAAGAAAGAGAAGAAAGATACCAGGCAGATAGGATAGAGGACAGAGTTGAACCTAAACAACAAAAAGTAATGATGTACTGTATGGTGACTAACATAACATAATAAAGAAAAAAAGAAAAGAAAATTTAGTAAAGAAAAGGGGGTTACCTAAAAATAATAAATAAATAAGAGGCAATTTGAGAACAGTTTGACAGTCATGGAAGATTAGTTCAGAGGCGTTCTGGAAAATTGATGAGAATCATGTTGAGTTCTAATGAGGAAGCCCAGGGAGGCCTAATGACACAGCTGCTGGTAGAAAGACTTGGTAACTGGGTGACACGGCATGTCCGAGGAAAGTCTTATTCAATGCCCTTTCCAGCATGTCATCGCAGGAGGCAGTGTCTAGACGATCAGTAAGTATATCCTGACTCTGGACCATAATCAGGCCAACAGTTCATCCCCAGGTGGGTCTCAGATATAAGAGGCCTCACACCTGCTACAGAAAATCTCCACTCCTCCCAGATCCTGGAGTGTGCAGATAAGCAGCAGAAGACCTGCGGGGAGGGGAAGAGAAAGAGAGAAAGTAAGAGAGAGGTTACGGAATACAGAATATTTATCCACATGCCTACATATATAAACAATTTATGTATGCATGTGTTATTGTTAAGGTAAACAGCTGAGGGTAAAGAAGCTGGATGGGCACCTGGGTGGCTCAGTTGATTAAGCATCTGCCTTCGACTCAGGTCACGGTCTCAGGGTCTTGGGATCGAGCCCTGTGTTGGGCTCCCTGCTCAGTGGGAAGCCTTCTTCTCCCTCTGCCTCTGCCGTTCCTCTGTGTTTGTGCTCTCGTTTTTGTTTTTGTTTTTTTAAGTTTGCTAAACTGCTTAGATGTGTCTCCCAGACCCTCTTTCTTCCTAAATCAGAAGGACAGGCTAACAATGGGTCATTCTGATGTGTGAGTCAGGTGGACCACTTTGGTCCCACCATCAACACTGGGTTGGCAGAAGCGGAGAATCGTGACACCCCACTCAGGATGGTGCATGCCACTTTCATTCATTTTCTCAACTAATGTCTGATGGAT